ACTTTCAAATAGTTACATAAATCATATTTTTAAAAATATTTAATTATTATATATTTACCCTAAATTAGAAACATTACTTTTTTATACGATTTCAAAATTTTAATATTCTAATTACAATTAAATTAAAATATATATTCTCAATTTTCAATAGATAATGTTATTTATAGTCATTCAACCACTTATTCAATTTAAAAAACTACTGTATTATACATGAAAAAATAAATTGTTACCTGATTAACATTGATAAAATAAAAATGGTATTTTTTTTTACAACAAATCCATATTCTCACTAACCATCGACTAATAAAATATTTGATTTTATGTAAACATAATTATACTCAAATAAACGTTTCCTCTTATTTATTATAAGGAATCATTTTCTTTTTCTCGTGTGTTATGAGAATTTTTTTAACATTATTATTTATAATTATTTGACCATGGTTCAAGAAACTACTGTATTATACATGAAAAAATTGAAAACACATTTAACATTTTTTTCTTATATTATTGTCATTTGATTAACATTGATAAAATTAAATTGGTATTAATTAGTATTAATAAAAGGAAAAAAATAGAAAAAATAAATTTATAATTTTTTGTAAAAGAATACTATTTTCTTTAAATATTATAAATAAATTAAAAAATAAAAATATCAAAATTAATTTCAAATGTGTTAAAAGAAAAATCATATCAAATAATCAAATTGGTCTCCACCTCAAAGTATATATATCTGAGTTACCATTAATCCATTTGGGTGTTAGTATTCTATTCAAATTTCAATGTAGACAATTTTTTAAAGATTAATTTTTAAAACACATTGGACTACATTAAAATTTTTGGTTACTCATGGTAAAAATGAAGATTCAAATATGTCTTGTGTTGCTCTGATAATATTGGTATTTATATTAAATTTATATATATTATTATCATGAAGTTTTAATTATACAACAGGTTAAATAACAAATTATCCAACTTACCAAAAATAAATCGTGCTTCACACAAATATCAAATCTAATAAATATATAAAGTATAAACTCAATACGACTTATCTTTTATAGTTTATATATTCATTTTAATTCAAAAACAAAAAAAGTCAAGCTATGTGAATTCATTTAATTAATATTTTTTAAAAATAAAATTGAAGAAAAGAATATTTATATAAACTATTTTTTTTATATCTAATATTTTTTATATATAATATCTATACTCTTTAATTATGTCAATACTGTTTAAATTTGTATTTTCTAAAAAATAATACGTAATTAGTATTGATATTTTTATTTTCTAAATTTAATTTGGTTTAATTTAAAAAGTGGTTATAAAAGTTTAGATGATGATTTTAATTTATTCTTAAGTCAAAATTTTGATTAAAAAACTGATATTTTAAATAAAAATATTTAAATTTTATTTAAATTTCTCACTTATTTGTTTATACTCCACTTATTCTGTGCATAGACATTTTAATGTTATGTTATTATGATTATTATTATTATTTATTTAATACTTTTATTAACTATTTAATAACTTATTTACTAGGTTTGTGAATTGTTTGATAGATGTTATAATTGAGATTATTAATATATTATTATTTAATTAATAAATATTAATAATTTTTTTAAAATATTTGACTTATTTATGTGACTCTATAAATTTTTAGTAATTAATGATTGTGATTTTTTTTATGTGCATGTATTTTTATAAACAAAGAAATCATTTTTAATAATTTGTAATATTATTTTATATATGAAAATATATCTATTTGCATTTTTAATTACTTTTACATGTACAAACATTTTATACAAGTAAAGTAAGGGGGGTGTATTGGATTAGGATTTTAAAGGACTTATTTTAAACTTCAATGAAGCTCATTGTGAAACCTCACCTTCTTCAAAAGTTGATTGTGAGAATTGCATGGTTTTGGAAAAGGAAAATGATGATTTGAAAAACTCACTTGCAAAATTCACAAAGGGAAATGCAAATTTGAATATCATTTTGGGAAAGCAAAGACATGCTTTAGATAGAAGTGGACTTGGTTTTAATCAAAGCATGAACATGCCATCAAAAGAAAAAGCTTTCAAGAGAAACAAATCTTTCAAATTCAAAGGCAATTTCATTAAACTATACATTAAGAAATTTTAATTAACTATTAGATCTTTAAAATTTGTTGGAGAACATAATTTATTTAGTGGAGTAAGAGATATAAGAGGATTCTACTTATTCCAAAAATAAATATTAATTTTTCTTCCCTTTTTTTTCCTTTTGTTGCTTCTTTAGAAGGTTGGGGCATTCAGCTTTTATGAGGCTTGGTTTTCCACATTCAAAACAATTGTAAGAGGATGTGCTTCCTTCCTCTTTCTTGTTGGCCTTCTTGTTGAATTTGAAGGGGGAACTCCTCTTCTTTCTTAGGAATTTTCTGAACTTCTTCACCATCAAGTTGAAGTTCTCTGAATCAGAATCTTCGGAGCTTGAGTCTTCACATATTTCTTTGCCTTTGACTGATTTCAAGGCTCTTAGAGACACTTTTTTTCCCTTTTTGTCTTGCTATTCATTTTTCTCAAAAATGTGCCGCTTTTTCTCATGCTCTCTTAGCTTTCCAAAGAGAGTTGCAAGGGTCAATGAAGTTAAGTATTTTGATTCTTCTATTGCAGTAACCTTTTCTTGCCAAGATCTATCCAAGCATTGTAGCACTTTCAAATTTAGTTCTTCTTCTTCAAATTTCCTGCCAAGATCAACAAAGTGATTTATCAAGTGTGTAAACCATTTTTGAAAATCATAAATTGATTCACCATAATTCATTCTCAACAATTCATATTCTCTTATAAGAGTATGCTTTCTAGATCTTTTTACATCACTTGTTCCTTCATGAGTAACTTGTAATGTGTCCCACATTTCTTTAGTTGACTTAAAATTCTAAAAAAAACTCATTAATAGACAATGTAGATGTTATTATGTTCTTTGCTCTATAGTTATATTGAGCTCTCTTTTTCTCATCATCACTCTACTCACTCCAATGTTTTTCTTTCTTTCCATCACCATCTTTGGTCATAGGGATATAGGGTCCATTTTATATTTCATCCCACACAACAATGTCAATTGCTTCAATGAAAATTATCATCCTAATTTTCCAATAGACATAGTTTTCACCATTGAAAACAGGAGGTCTATGAATAGACACACCCTCACCATAAGGTAGGTTGTTGTTGGCCATTTTTGAAATCTTGATTAACACTCAAGAACCTTGCTCTAGATACCAATTGTTAGAAAAGAATGGCTCAATCCAAGGAAGGGGGGTGAATTGGATTCTATGACACTTAAAAAATTTTCAGAGTTCTAAGGATCTTTATTTTAACTTAAACTTTTCTAATATGAATTCTCAAAGAAGTTCCTTGAAAGGCTTGCCAATGGAAATGAGTCCTATATGCTTTCTTGATTAATCTTGATTAAGTTCAATGTTAAGAACAACTTAATATGCAACACTTATTTAAAGCAATGTTATTCATACAACCATATTAATCAAGATCATCCACTTTAACACTCAACCAAGATTTTTCTCAGTTTCAACTTAGCCATGCTAGGGAAGCAAGGTTGGAAGTTTCTAACCAACCAAGATGCTATCTTAACTCGCATTTTCAAGGCAAAATACTTCCCAAGAGGGGACTTTTTGGGGGCTCAGTTGGGCCACAACCCAAGTTATGTTTGGCGTAGCATCCACGCTTCACATGTGGTGGTTAAGGGCGGCTTGAGATGGTGTATAGGTAACGGTCAAGACATTCATGTATGGAGGGATCCTTGGTTGCGAATCTCTGCAAATCCATATGTGACCACACCTAGTCCACCAGGTCATGAGAACCTACTGGTATCCCATCTCATTAACACAGATTCAGGTACATGGAACCATGAGCTTCTTTCTTTGTTGTTTTCCCAGTAAGATGTATCTGCCATAACTGTCATACCTCTCACTCACCTTCATGAAAGGGACTCCATCACTTGGAACCTCTCTAGAAAGGGTAGTTATACCATCAAATCAGCGTATTACTATATCATGGAGTCACTTATCTCCAACTCACACCTTAGGGAATCGGGTAACTGGCTGCAACTATGGAAACTTAAGCTACCGTAAACAATGAAGATCTTCCTTGATAATTTATTTACAAATATTGTTTAATAAGGATGCCACAAACATTTACAAGTGAATTCAACTATTTAAGTATCTTCTATTTTTTCACATTCATGAATAAATTCATACATAATAATATTATTTTTTACATAGTAATATAATAAATTAAGTGTCTTATTGTAAAAAATAATTATTGACATGAGTTTCTTTTTTCACATAATATAAAAAATGTCTATTTTTTAATATACTGAAAATAAGAGAGACACTTCATATTTCTTTATTTAAAAGAGTGATAATGGACCATTATTCAAAGGAGAAAAAGTTTAAAAATTAAATTTCAAATTAAAGTAAAAGAAAGAACCAATATATTAATAAACAAAAGAAAAAATATTTTTTATTCATAGAAATGAAATTTAGATATTAAAAGAGTTTACAACACTTACAACCAACTAAAGATAATTATAAAAGTAAATTTTTGTTCAAAATGAAAAAATAGTTAATAAATATACATGGTTAGTAAATAATTTTGATATTCTAATTAATTAAAATTTCTCTTTTGATTTTTTAAGGATTTTAAAAATCATTTCTAACACCTTACATTGCATAGTGATTTTTTTAACTATGATATTAAATAATTAAATAATAATACTATTATAAAAAGTTTTTACATTAATAGAGATGGATTATGCATTAAAAAATAAGAAACAAAATTTTATTTATCACCAAGCCATGCAATAGTCACTTTGTTTTTATACTATTTTTGAAAGGACACCAGACCACGTTCTAAAGATCTAAAACAAAATGACCCGAATTTTACTGCGGCAATCAGCAGTAGCACAACACAACACAACACATTGTTTGATTGAACGGTGCGTTTAGTGTGGCGAGGGAAAGAAAATTGTAAAGGCGCGATGGTGAAAATTAACCCTAGAACTAGAACTGAAAACTAACCTAGACACGGAACAGTGTGTGTGAATGTGTCATGTTCAAGTTAAACTCTTAAACGGGTAAAAAAGTGAAAAAAGGATTTGAGCGGGAACTTCTTTTTCACACAATATAACATAACTCCCCATTTTGTTTCAATACTTTTTTCTCTCTCTCTAAACCATCAAGTTACTGCTTGGGAACCACGATGCAGGCTGCAGAAGATGCTGAGGGGCGAAACGCGCGTTTTGAGGAAAACGATTTGGACTTGGAAATTTCGAGGCTGCGTGGACGATGGGAGCTCGCTTCTGTTCTCAATTTTTTGGACGTAAGAGATCTTAAATTTTGCAATGCAATTTATGTCTCTGTACGAAATCGCGTAGGAATTTTTATCTTATTTTACAGTGAGTATAATGCTATGCGTGGGGTATGCTTATTTATTGTGTTGTATTTGGTCTAGGTGTTTGGTCCGATACTTGGTAAAGATTTGAAGCTTTCTGCCGAAGATATTGAGATTGGGCTTGTTAAGCCCGATGCATCACTTGCTCGGCTTCACATTCAAATTTTGAAGGTACCTTGTTTTACGTGATTGTGATTATTGAAGCGTGCATGTGTGCGTGAGAAATGTTTAATTTGTGGGAACAATTAGAAAAGTTGTTGATTGTTGTGTGTTTGCATGTGACATCTTTTGAGACTGTTGGTGCTTGGTAGTGGTAGAGAGGTATTTGTTCAAATGTAAATTTTGCAAATTTGGACATTGTTTTGTGTTTGTAATTTGAATTCTTTTATATGAAAAATGGGCAGTTATGTGTTTCCATTTGTGTGATAAGAAGTGATGATTGGGAGAGGAGGGGGGGAGATTACTCTGTTGAAGTGATAGTTTTGTGGGGGTACAATCTGATATTATTTTATTCAACTCTCCAATTTATAAGCTTTTACTAGTGACACTGTTAAAATGACTTTGTTTTCACATCTTACTTAACAGAAACCCAGATGAGTTATGGGCTGAATCATAAACTTCTCATGAAATGCATGATTGGATTTTAATATTAATTCTCAAAAGTGCAGTAGATCCATTGTGAGTACATCAAGTCCAATAGAGATATAGGACTGTTAACATTTTCCTGTTACATGTAAAACTGTGAGGAATTGAGGATTGCCCAAAATATGAAAGGGACATGCATTTCAAGGAGGAAGTTTGAATATACTAATTTTGTGAATTGGCTGACTTCTTAATATCAAACATACTATTCTACTGATTCATATGACTTATTTTTCTGTTGATGGCTTCCTATCCTATTATTTAGAATAAATAATATATCTGTAGTTTCTCCGTAGATTTATTTTATTTGTATTTCTGCCAGGGAATGCCACCTGTGAGTAAAACACTTGAAGAATCTGATAAATGGGTGACTTCACTCTGTAAGAAACTGACTATGTGGTGGCCATGGGTAAGTCACTGACATATTGCTTTTGGGTATGTTTTTTCTTTTTTCTTCCCTTTGCTGATTGAATTTATTACTTAAACATGCTGGTTGAATCTGTGGAACAGGTTGCTGAGGGGGAGATTCCACTTGTTCCATCTAAAGGGTACTGAAACACACTGATCATGTTGTATTGATTCTAATTACAATGGCATTTTTAAGAAATCTGTTGTCATCAATGTTTGTGCAGAGAGGAGATATCCAAGTACAAGGAACTTAATCCATCAGATCGTTTACTACTGCTAAGAGCGCTTTGTGAAGTTAGAGCTGATGTATTGTTATCTCCTGTTTGTTTCTTCATTTTTTTTTTAATTTAAAAATCTGATATATTGATACTATTTAATTTTCATGACTGGATAATCCTCCTAGTCTATGTTTCTATTCATCTTTGCTGTTTTCCACTTTTCTTTTAATATTTGATCCCTTTATTTGTTTTTATTTTGTCTGATGTAAATAATTTTGTTGATATTCAGCAACATGATGCAGTGTCATACATCAATGATGCTTTAAAAGAAGGAACCCAAATTTCCTCTTTTCGCAAAGATGCTTTGGGAAGAGATGGAACTGGCACATCTTACTGGTATTTTTTTTAAGACTGTTATTTTTAACAATATCAAAACCATAAAATTGTTGTTGCTTATGTGACTATTTTTGTGTAGGTATGATGCAACTTCAAAAGGTCAGAGTCACAGATTGTACAGGGAAATTATCACATCAGACTCGATCCCAAAAGATAAGGATGAAAGACGTTTATCACTCCCCACCATTCAATGGGAAACACTTGCTTCCAATCTTGAAGATTTTTCTAAAGTAGCTGTAAGATCAAGTTAACTGCCTTTTGTCTTAATCTTCCCTCTTGGATTTGAAATCTTTATTTTATTAAGTTTGCCATAAAAATGTTACCTGCAGGAAAATTTCACATTCAGCAAGTCTTCTGTGGAAGTTGCTGTTAGCATGAAGCTTCAAAGTGATGCTATTCCCACTCTTGAAAAGATTCGGAAGGTATGACATCCTTTTGTTTAGTGTTTTATAGGCGTATGTACATTCTAGGGGATACACTTCATCTTTGGTTGCGATAAGGATGTGAGGGAATGCCATCTTTGATTTATGCAGAAGAAAGAAAGAGCAATGAAGCAAAAGCAAAGGCAGGATAAACTGTTAAAAGATGTTCAGATTTCTCATTGTTCTGGAAATACACGCTCTTGTCGCACTCGAAGGCCTATTAATTATACATTTGGTAAGATGTGCATTATTCCTGTCCAATTACATGGCAATGATGCATGTTGCATTCTAGCTCCTACAAATTCTGATGCACAGGACAACTGTTATCCTGCATGTGAATGGATTTGACTTTATTGTGCATTGTTCTGTACTTTATCATTGATTTATCGCTTTTGTTAGTGAGAGTGGGTCTTGTCAATTGAGCAGGTGAGGATGTTTGTGCACTTGTAAGATGTCCTAAATTTTACTATATCGTGCATAGAACATGAGTCGTTACTCTTCACTGTTTGGAATTGCTCTGAATTGCTTTATCTAAGCTTTCTTTGATCAAAGGAATTCTATCTCACTTTCACTATTAGTCTTGTGTGCGTGTTTTTTTTTTTTTCTTTCTTCAGTTTCTAGTCTTACGGAGTGATGAGCAGTGTTTGCTTGAAACATTTTAGTAACAAGCGGTTGTTTTAATCTAGGATGTCAAATTATTTAGAATCTATTCTCATCTTTGATATTTCAATGCTAGAATCGCATTACTAATTTCCATCACTACAACTTTTTTCTCCCCATTTTCTGTCAAGTGTTAACGCAATATGTGTCTATGAATTAAATTGAATGAATCATAAATGTCCAAACCCATTTATTAATGTGATAAGTAAGCACAAGTTGCTTGATGCTTCTAATAAATTGTGAATCCAGTATAAGTAGTTTGATTTCTTTCCTTTTCCTGCCACTTCATGATATCAATTGGAATTTTAGATATTAATTAGTTTTGTTTGGGTAAATGTTGCAGAAGCTTATGATCGAACAATGGAGGAGGCAATACAGCTAACAAAGTATGTTTTACGTGATATTGTACATTGTTAGTAAATGATCTGTTTGTCACGTGTCAGATTATCCCTGTAGAATGGGAATAATAATTTTTTCAATTATTAATTAGAGTTATTTTGGTTTTGTTAGACTCAAGATTGAAACCAAAAAAGGGAACAAAATAATTTTTTTCTTTTAACTTATACTTTGCCGCTTTTACATTATTGTTTTGTCACACATGCTCATGCTTATTATATGAAGTAGATGTGTTTAAGATTGATAATTTGGCTATTTTATTAGTGGTTACCCTAGGCTGTTATGACTACAGAAATCTAACATGTTAATATTTAATTGTGGTTTCAATTATCTATTTGATGTGTTCATTGTTATCTGACCCTGCTTTTATAATTTTTACTTTCTTTTTTATTAATGTTCAGTAAAAGGAAAAAGTCTCCTGTTGCTGACCAAGATAAAACCAGAGGATCAGAAGATAAATCCAACTCAAAAGATGTTTCAACAGATGGTGATTCCGAAAGGGATGTGTTCCCAGTATCTGATAGTGAAGATGACACTGGTTACAAAGTTGAGAATCATGGTAGCAGCGATGAGGATGGTGTTGATGGTGAGATGGGCAACTCAGAAGCACACTCAAGCCATGCAGTTTCTTATCCCAAGGGGGTTCGCTGCAGCAAGCGGTTAGCTGGAGTTGCTAGCCACACTATTTTAGAAAGCAGAGGGTTAACTACAAAGCAAAGATTGAGACAAAGACCCACCCGCAATTCTGCTATAGAATCTGTCATCGTATCTGATTCAGAAGACGAAGCATGTGAAGGGAAGACAGATTTGTCGGAGTCTAATTAGTCCTAGTATTAACCTGCGTTTTGGCTAAAGCATGGAAGCCTAGCAGTGACAGAATATTTGTCATCGAAATTTGGGTAGATTTGTAGAAGCCATCATTTTTCTAGGATCACCATTTTTGCTTCTCCAATTTGTCTTGGAATCTATGAACTCATTTTTTTGTCTCTTGGATGTGATCCGATAAATTACTGAAGTATTTCAGTATATAATATATAAATATGGCTAATGAATCTCTATGCTGTGAGTTAGATGCATCAGCTGCAATCAATTCAACTCTCAACCATCTCTTAGATGACATGCACTGTAATGTAATTCATCATGAATCTGACAAAACAAGTGCAGCAACCTCTTAGTATGATTGACCATAAACAAAATGCAAAATACCATGGATATCCTCTTAAATGTAAAAAGAATTTGAAACGAATTAAATTTAGACCCATCAAGATTCTAATGTTAGAACTAAAATGCCTAATTTTTCAAAATTTGATAATAACAAAAACTGTTTAAATATGATAACATATTTCTTTGTCTAACAACGGTGTTCTTTGTGTAGATTTATTAATTGATTTTGCTTTCAATTGTCCGGGTTCAGTCCAATGGGTTTATAAGTCAAAAATGTTTCTAATGCTTTTAGTGTTATTAAAGCTCAACGCTGGTGAGTCTAGTCGTTTTAAAGCGTGGACAGTCCATTGGCAAATGAACGTCCAATAAGCATGATGAACTTTTATGTGTCCAATTATTTTTTCTGAACGGCCTTCTATAAAGGTTTAATTTGGACTTTGGACCGAGTTAGGCAAGCGCCAACTAGAATCAAATTTTCTACTAGGATAAGTACCTAGAATATGATTTGTTCAAGAAAAAGGTAGGAACAAATGGTTTTCAAATCTTTCACAGTAATTTAAATCACGAAATTCCAAGCCCAACAACCAAGTGATATTAAAACCCTATTTTCTTTAAGAATATGGACTTGATTAAGCGCCTCATCTAAGGGTCAATTCAAGTAAACCTCTTTTTAACTGAAATCTCAATCATATTACAAAGTAAATGCGTGATATATATTTGCAATCATCACAAGTAGATTGAATAAAAAGTAAAATCAAAGTTTTATAGATGAGGAAAATGGATTAATAGTTTTGATGAAATAAACCATAAAATGCGTAAGGCTTCAAACTAGCAAACGATTTGAATGATTGATTAAGAAGTTTAGTAACTCTCGTAAGTCGGTGAAAACCTAGAAAGTGAGTGCTTAAGGATAGAGAAGGCTATCATAAGAATAAGAGTTATTTATGTCCTAAACGTAGAGAGCTATCACCTTATTTATACGACTAATGCTGAGCTTTTCTCATTTCCTTGTGCTGATTACAATTGGCCCAAGACCAAATATGATGCAAATTGTTGAGTAACGGGACACAGTTTGAACTTTGAAGAACTTCACGTCCTTTCATATAATAAATACGTTTAGCTTCGTCTGGCCTATCGTCCTGTGCCTAAAACAACCATCTATTGCAATTCTGACATCTTTAAAGTCCAAACTCGGTTGATTTGTTTGCATCAAAGTTAAACTCACATTTGGCTTTAGTTCTATTTAATTTGGAACAAATCAAAATATGCCCAACAAACGACAAATTGCCCAAACATTAGACGATGCATCCCATCTCCATCTAGTGCAATTTTTACCAAATTAGTACTCGAATTCGGTCTTGGCTTTGCATGAAGGTTGTAAATCTTTTGCGTGACTTGTTTTGATTTCTTTCCTTTTCTAGTAATTTAGACATTAATCAATTCTGTGACAACAATGTTATCTTCTAGTAAATGTTCTATTTCCTTTGCCCCGTAAGATCATCCCCAAGCTTGCCTTCTCAAAACAAAAAGAGGCCAAGTAAAAAAATTTCTTTGCTGTATGGTACTAGTTTGATGCATTTGCCTTCAATTCAACCATGTCTTACATTACATGACAAGCACTTAAACAATGAGGAATCTAACAAAACAAGTGCTGCAATGCAACCTCAAGGATTGAAAAGAAAGAATCGCAACACAAAGACAAAGACCATGAGCAACCAAAAGAGATACATTTAGCCAGTGATCATAGTTCCAGCACCTTCATCAGTCAAAATCTCGAGTAACAAAGAGTGAGGAACCCTACCATCAATAATACTCGCAGTGGTAACCCCTTGCGCCAGCGATCGCACGCAACAATTAACCTTCGGAATCATTCCACCACCGACCTTGCCATCTTCCATCATTTTTTTCACCCCTTTTATGTCAATCTTTTTCACCAAGCTGTTAGGGTCGTTCCGATCTTCCAAAATCCCCGCAACATCGGTCAGCAGAATCAGCTTCTCCGCGCCCAGCGCCGCCGCCAATTCTCCGGCCACGGTGTCGGCGTTGATGTTGTACGGCTGTCCGAACTCGTCCGCCGCCACGGAGGTCACCACGGGAATGTGGCTGCTCTCGATGAGGGAGCGGAGGACGGCGGGGTCCACCCTGGCCACCTCGCCGACGAACCCTAGGTCGGCGGCCTTGGGGCTGGGGCGCGCGGTGAGGAGGCGGCCATCCATGCCGGAGAGGCCGACGGCGGTGGCGCCGGCCTTGTTAATGAGGGAGACTAGGGTTTTGTTGACTTTTCCGACGAGGACCATGGAGACGATCTCCATTGTGTCGGCGTCGGTGACGCGGAGGCCGTCGCGGAAGACGGCGGGGATGTTGAGGCGGCCGAGCCAGGAGTTGATCTCGGGGCCACCGCCGTGGACCATGACGGGGCGGAGGCCGACGCAGGCGAGGAGGACGAGGTCGTTGATCACGGAGGCCTGCAGCTCCGGGGACTTCATGGCGGCACCGCCGTACTTGACGACGATGGTCTTGCCGCGGAATTTCTGGATGAAGGGGAGCGATTCTGAGAGGACGTCGACTCGGTACTGGCCCGGAGTGGCTGACTCGGCGGTGGTGGGCGGAGGTTGGACCGGGTTGGCGACGGCTGAAATGGGGCGGTGGCGAAGACGAGTGGAAGGGAATGAGAGAGAGGGGTGGGTGAGTGGGTTTTGGGTTTTGGTTGTGAATGGGAAAGAGGGGCAAAGATTTGTTAGGGTTTTGGCTGCTGCTCCTCCCATCATTGTGTCACAAGCTCAGTTTCAAGTGTGAAGTGAAAAGTTGCAGACTGAAGAAGGGTTTCGGACTTCCACGGCTATTGCTCTTTCTCATCTCATACATTATAATACAAGACAACTGTCTATGTAAGGTAATTTTCCCCACGTGCTATGCATACTTGTTTATAAAACTAGCTAATTATATTTATATTCTTATTTTGAGATGTGCGAGGGCGATAGGGAACCATATTTTTAACGTTAAATATTCTCACTAATAATTGTGCTAAATACGTTTGTATAAAATTTAAGTAGAAATTTTTAATTTATATCCATTTCAAGTCTCATCGATTGTTATTTATACTTTAGGATTAAGACGATTTAGTTGTTGGTGAACAGTTTTTCCATTCATGACAACACAAAAACCAAGCTATAACGTGCAACAGCACCTCTAGGACCCCTTAAATTAGGAGAAATAATCTTCGGGACCACTTAATTTAGAATGTAACGACATTGTTGATACAGTTGATAAAAAGAGCATTTGCTGAAATGGACAGTTTGAACCAAAATTGTGAGCAGGATGCGGAAGCCGTGAATCAGTGGTACCCATTTGAAATTGTAAATCTATTAATTAACTAATCAGTATCCATTTGATCTTTTAAAGCTATTAACTAGCTGTGTCACCGTGCATTACATGGTCACGATAGTCCTGGTCATGTGAGGTGACTTCATCATGAATCTGTCTGTGGAACATCATCCTTTTCTCAAAGATGATAAACAGAAGCACGGCAGCATATGTGAAACAGAAGAAAAAATAGTTGGTGGCACGACACCTTTGTAATGTATTCTCAGAAGTTACACAGTCCAAGCTTTTGTAATGCACACTCGCATGCGTGCAGTAATGCATTTCCGCGGTCTAAATAATATTCCGTGACCCGGATAGTACAATAAAAGTTAAAACAAAAAAAATACTGAGATGCTGCATAATACCAGTTAAGAAATATACTTTCTTCCTCTATTACCTTATTACTACGGAACATGGACATCTCTGCACCAAACATCCCGAGGTATAAAGATCATAGGCCACATCGTGGCTCTCGGTAAAAATGCGGTATTGTCAAATTATATACAACTGCGCTTCTAGACCTTCCATCATAATAAATTCGCAGAGGACATAGGGGTGAAATATAACAGCAAAATTGAGCAAAATTAATTGACATTCCGCCCAAAAATGAATATAATGAAGAAAGAAATAATTACAGCTTCTCCTCGATTAAAAATTAATACCCAAAGCCATTACCAACAAAATCCTCATCGTCACTACTTAAGGACTCAAGTATCTGACTATCATCATCATCCTCGTCACCTTCTGTCACAATCTCCAATATGCCAGGTCCTTCATCGAAGTCTACATCATCCAAAATGAAATCTCCATCTTCATCTTCATCGAGATCGCTCGCGCTGTCATCATCATCGTCATCATTGCTCAAGTCATCAGCATCACTCGCACTATCACCACCAAGACCAGGGCCTAAAAGGGGATCTACATCAACATCATCATCGTCATCATCCTCATCTTCCTCCTCACTTTCAGCATCATCAGGATCAGAATCATCATCAGTTGGCCTCCGACGACCAATTTCATAGATTCTGGCTGAAGCATACATCTCATCCTGATCATCCATAGTAACCAGACCAACAAATGAATCTGTTGGCTCGGCTGCAAAATCAAGAACACATCGGTCCACAGGGATAGTAGCAATGTCTGAATAATTGATTGCATCCACTGTGCGGAAAGCCGCAAACAGAGGATGTTTGACACGACGAGTGTGGACTGCTGACATTACATCCTCAAGATTTCTCCTCAAGATTGCATACATTACATCACCTCGTGCATTGAATGTTATTGATGTTTGATCTAATGAAGGTACACTGCGAAGCAATCTGAACTTGCGCAAATCCCAGACTTCAGAGTTAATAATAACCTGGTTAAAAACAATTATATTTTACAAACAAAAAAAATGATGAAGGTCAGAAAACCACCTTGCAGACGGAAAGTATAATTAAATCAAATAATTAAAAAATAATACTATATGTTCACTAGAACACTGTCCTGGTTCAAATTCTATAACCCTAGAATGTTAGACATAAATCACAAAAACCTTTTTACACAATGAGGTTGATAATCAAAGTATACCTATATGACTATTTTCTCACTACATGGTCTATAATAGAAGATTATGGTTTTGTATGATCTATGGTTCTGACCCATCTACCGGGAAAAGGCTTGGTTGTGGTTAATTCAAAATTCTATTTAGACAGATGCAAGAATATGCATACCTCGTTGCCAGCAGGATGAAAGCCTCCACCACCATAGTCTGTAAACTGATCAAAGCGATGAACAGGCCTAGAAACCCTCCGGTCCCATAAAACACCATTCCAAAGCAACATTGAGTCAGAAGGGTTAAAATGGATTAAAGAATAAACATGACCCCGCCCTGTAGAAGTTGCATATGTATCTGACAACTTTGATTCTAAATGACAAGATTGGATATCATACAAGAGGATTTCCCGTCGTGCAGATTCTGATGACAAGGCTGCAAAAACACTCCCAGAATTGCTGAACCTGGCAGCCTTGCATCCTTCAAATGAATGGCTAGGACCTCCTAAAATTGATGATGCATCCCACAACCTAACATCTTGGGAGCTTGAAGAAAGCAATAGTTGGGTCTCACCAGAAACGAAAGACTGAACAAGAGTCAAAGGAGACTGATGACCAGTGTAGCTCTCGACAACATTGCTGTTGTTGGAGTCAAAAAATTTGAGCTCTCCATTATGGCTACCAACAGCAATGTGAGAAGAGTCCCCAACAAATGTAATGCATGTTAACAAGGCACCGGCATCATCCCGACAAGGACGCCCCGGCCTAAACCGACTGTAAATAAATTGCCGATCCCTACGATTCCCATGCACTCCACCATACATGTATTTAAATTCCCGTGTACCAAGTCGAGCAGTCACATTAGAAGGAGCATCAAGGCTTCGCTTTGGTTCAGGGCAGACATGTGGATGCAGCAGAGACAGTGGAGGAAGAGTGGTAATAGGAGCTGGACATTGGCGATGCTGATGCTTCAGATACTGAACCACTAGCGAATCCAGTGTTACACGCTCAGGGTTGTTGGGCTGAAGATCATTCAATACTTGGGAGGATGGTGTCATCTGACCTGTATTTGGAGTATTGTACTGATTCTCATCCACAAAATCACCCATACAACGGCTCTGTTGATTTCTCAAGTTACAAATTGGTGTGACAAGCCCAACAGCATCAGTCTGCAGGCTGCTTTTACGAATTGCACTTGAACATATAGGAGAGCGAAGTCCTTGATCCCCAATATTTAGTCGTTTTCCAGAAGCTGAAAACATTGCTATATCCTTTATATCAGATAACTTACGTTTTGCTGGCAAGGAAATAGGAGTCTTAAACAGAGATCCAGTATCAATATTATTTTTCACCAAAGATTCAGATGTAGTATCTACTGCACTAGTTTCTGAAGACTCTTTACCAGTACTTGACCATTTACTGACTGATAATTGCTGAGAGTAAAGTTGCAGTCTTGAATGAAAAGATGATGAGAAAGTCAGTGATTTTTTCTTTGCAGAAATAGAATCACTTTTCAAGCTAGCATCCTCATCCTTCGCATTAACTTTTAATTTGTTAGAGAGAAATCCAGAAGGAGTACGACCAGAGGGCCACTGAATTTGTGTTGAAGAAACTTCCTGTGAGGTGGGCTGTTGTGCAAGAAAAGATGGAGCAACCAATGATGGCAAAGGAGTCAACTGAGCCTCTTTGAGCAACAAAGAAGCAGTTTGTGTCATTCCAGATGCTTGCAGGTGTTCATGAATTAGGAGCAAGAGTTCCCTGAATAAGAAAAAACATAACACAAAAGAACTATGAGTCATCAGAAGGGTGCCCCCAGAGATAGGGGGAGAGCACATCTATAGGAAAAATCTGAATGGTAAAATAGAGAAAAAGAAACCTTGAATGGTAAGTAATAGGAGTGGCAGCAGCTATAGCAGCTCTTTCTATACGCCTTAAAGTAGGAGTAGCTGCATCAGTAGCAGCTAATGTACTGGCACGTCCTGAATTAGTCACAATCTACAAATACAATTTAAACAAAAATTATCAGCAGCAGCCTTCATAAAGCACATATTATACTTGTTTATCTTATTCTTGGTGAAAGATAGATCACTGCATATTGAACAACATAATTCTCAAAACTGGGATTCTATTTGGTAACAGGATTCAAATATTTATTTAAGGTCCATTACAAAGAAACTGGCATTCACTGCCTTACAATTTCCTGGTGAAAAGTAAAAATCCAATTAATAACACACCTAAACTTGCACATTTGCTCAATCATGCATTCACTCAGGTGTGCAAAGTCTTTTGGCCACATGCAGGCACACACACAAATTTGGCCATACAACCAAATCTAGAATGTCAAGATTGTTTGAATTAATAATAATATACAATTTTTGTCATACAACAATAAATTGACAGTCATTATTGATGGAATTAATTCATATCTTAACCATTCATTTTAATTATATGGTTGAAAAATGAAAATTTCTCCTGTCATGCTCTCATTTCCCTGATACACTTGCTTAGTATATATTCTTTATTACTTATTTACATAAATAATAAAACAAGTCAATTAAATAGATGGACATGAAAACCAGTGAAATACACAATACATGATACCCTTAAACACAAACTTCAGCTTCACCAAAGAGTGGATATGCTCACCCCAATAAGCTCAATCGCAGCCTGGGAAAGTTCAGTTTGCCATCTACCCTGCTCTGTTCCAGGTGTTTGGCTGCCTGAATCCCGAATCAGTTCTGACAGCTTTTTCCCAACCTAGAACAAAAAAATCAAGATATTACATTCCAGCATTTGACAATATTTATGTTTTATGAAGTCTCATCAGAACAGAATTTAAACAGATAAAGAAAAATGTTGAAGCCAAGTTATCTCAATTTCCACATTTGATACTGACTATATTCCAAACCCATCAAACCAGGATACAATGGATACAGTCCAGTCAGAGTATGACTGTGCTCAATGAAAATCAGTTATGGTTGTTCACCTGAAGCTTGGTCAATATGTGTGCAATA